AACCCCCCCAAACCCGTCCTACCCATCAAGCTCAACCTGAGTGGAACCCCAAAAATGAAAAAAAAAACAATCAATTCGGCCCGGGCCCGACCTGGCCGGGCCGGTTCGCCAAATATAAGACCCGAGCCCGGACCCGAGACCCGGGCCGGTCCCGCACAGTAGCGGGGCGAGCCGGTCCACGGGCAGGGCGACCCGAACCGGGTCCAAGACTAGCCGGGCCGGGCCTAAAAAACGAGCCTGAATCCCACCCTTATAGCCACCGGGCCGGACTCCAAGCCTAAAGAGGGTTGGGTCGGGTCTAAACAGTGCCGGGATCGGGTTGGGTTTAGGGCTGTGCATTAACCGGGTCGGACCGTATTTTAGACCTGAACCGGACCGGAATGACCCGGTCCAGACCGGACCGGTAAATACCGGTCCGGGTTTCGGTCCTTAGTTTTTCAAGATTCCGGGTTTCCGGTCCGGTCCGGGTCAAACCCGGAAAAAACAGGTCCGGACCGGAATAGACCGGTAACCTATTGTTCCATAAAATATATACTTCGTTTTGAATCATTAGTCAATTTATATTTGGCTTACTACTATGTTTATGGCTTATTTTTGCCTTTTGTTATATAAACGAATATATACGGAGTGTGTATTTGGTGTCTAATTATTTCCTAAGTTGTTTATAATTTTTTTTATGTAGCATGTCCTAAGTTTTTATTGATCGTACTTTATATTTGTTTGATTTTTCCAAATCACTTTTTATTTGTTTCTTTATTTGCAGGTGTGTATGTATTTTATATGTAGTATATTTTTGGACGTAATTTAGTTTTTATTACCCCACAATAAATTTTACCAATTTAATACACAAAAGATTGTAGTTTTAATTATTGTGGGATACTAATTGTTACGATTGAATAGTTTTGATGACTATATTCCAAAATTAATAAATGAGCTAAACAATTATTTAGTCTATTTAGCATATCCGCATATAAAATTATAGTTTGAAACAACAACATCCAAGTCTTATTCCTAAAAAATTTGGGGTCAGCAAAGAACACTCTAAGATAATACTCCGTATATCTTTTTTTAAAACCGGGTCAATTAGGGTCAAACCCGGACCGGACCGGAAAATTCAGGTCCGGACCGGTCCGGACCGGTTAGATTCAGGTCCGGTCTTCGGTCCATAGAAAATGATGATTCCGGTTCCGGTCCTAACCGGTTCCGGTCCGGTCCGGTCCGGTTTTGGACCGGTGCACACCCCTAGTTGGGTTGACCCGTCCCAGTTCATCTCTAGATTAGATACTTATAAAAAATCACTTGGGATATATTTTGAATTCAAGTCCTTGAACTTGCAGAGTTGCACTCATTTTAAATTGAGCTAAAATTATCATATAATTTGGGCAGTTTTTCCGAAATAGGAGTGAATGAATAGAATTTGGAATTTCAAAATATGACTACTATGTTTTTATTCTCGAAATGTGATTGTCAAATAGTTTTTATTTACCGTCATCTTGTAGGCGTGACTGCCAAATAGTTACAGACTTACAGTACGTTGCATGTAAAATGACAGTATTTATTATAATTAATAATTAATGGCATTATTTTTCAATAATGACAATATTTTTCAATAATGGGAGTAACAACTCCTATTTCGAAAAGAAAATAGTCCTATTTTGGAATTACAAACTTCATTTATTCCTATTTAGGATTTTATGACAATTTCCCTATAATATCCTTCAAACACCTTCAAATTGCAAACTTAAAATCGAGCATTTCAAGTTACAAAAGCACTCCAAAATCTTCCCCTACAATTTCTTAAAATCGCAAACAAAAATGGTCATAAAACCTTCCCAACCTTTTCGGTCCCTCTTCAAAATCCAACTACCAAACATACTCTAAAAGCATGCAAAGTAAAAAAAAAGCTGATCTAATAGAAATATAACTTTACTGGTAAGTTCCGGAACTTGTGGAACATTATGAACTTAATTATATGCTAGATCTCGATAAAGTTATTTTCTCATTACATAAGAGGTAGTGGTATAGAAGGCTTACATACTGTTGGATCATAATTTAAAAAATCGAGAATAAGAAAATGATAAATGAATGTTAGCTACATAAAAATTTTCAAATAAGAAAAGGAGAAGAATCTTTTGAGACATCCCAAAAACGTAACTGACTATCACTTATTTTACATTATATTATATGACGTCTTTACCCAATTAATTGGTAATCTAGATTTTGATCTAGTTTTGTTGTCTAAAGCTATGTCAGTATGTTGCACCAACAAAGACACGCATATTCGAGGACACTAAAAAACAGAAATAGTAAAACGAAAGATGAACACCGGACCAGGCATATTTGAGAATTTCCCCCCTTTTATCTTTATATAGGAGCAAGTTACTACGGTTTGATACTCCCTCCGTCCAGTTAGAAGTGTTTCACTTTCCTTTTTTGGGCGTCCCATTAGAAGGTTCTTATTTCCATTTTAGGAAATAATAAACAATCTTAAGTGACAAATTAATCATTAAATATTAAAAATTATACATTTATAACATCACAGTTATCAATACTAACACATTATAATATATACCTATTAAAATTATTTCTCAAAATATACCCGAATTACTTTATTTAATTATTACCTAAATAACTGTGTCGTTTTGCTATGGGAACCTTCTAGCAGGACGGGGGTAGTATTACAGAGTATTTACCAAAGGACTCTTAAATGTACTTTACTTCTGTTAATGGGCGGATCTAGGGAGGCACCTTAGGCCCTGCTCACCCGAAATGTAAAAAATGTCTTAATTTTATAGTAACAAAATTGGTGTAGTTTTTTTTTTAAAAATATTCTTTGTCTTAAAAATATGCACATGCTCGTCGTTTAGGGCACGTCCATCACCCTATATGACTGAGAACGAGAGAGGATACTGAAATCACTAGTGTAAAAACATCAATTTGCGGCATTGGATAAGAGGCGGTTTTAAAATAACCGCCACAAATTTAGTAAAAATACAAAATCGTCACACGCGCGGCGGTTCTTAACTAATAACCGCCGTCTTTATTTTAATTTATATTTATTTTTACAAATTTTGCGGCGGTTGTAAACATAAGAACCGACACATTCGTGCTGAAATTTTATTAAAAGGAACGCGCGGCGGTTATAAACATACAAACCGCCGCATATGGTATAAGTTAATTCTAATATGGACTGGAGTATGAAAACACGCGCGTCGGTTGTGATAATAGAGAACCGCCACCAGCGTTTTATCTTTTGAAAACTTTTCAGCACGGAGGATATATATGCATCATCGCGCCTCAATAAAACAAACCCTAAACTTAACAGATCTGAAAACCACCTATCGAACAATTGTGGCCTGTGAGTGAAATGGAAGCAGGCAGAAGCTACGAACGGCGGATAGCAGGCGGCCGCTACGAACGGCGGATAGCAGGCAGCCACTACGAACGGTGGATAGCAGGCGGCAACTACGAACGGCGGCTGGCGGAGGTTTCTTTGACGCCTAGTGACGGATGCTTTCTGGGACAGCTTGCGCCTTGCTAGTTTCTCCCCCATCGATGATGAGGATGAGCTCTGCATTGTCGACCGTCTACCGCAGGACCATGACTAGAAGCTCTCTCGCTTCACCATCCAAACATATTCTCCATGGAAGATTTTCTCCTCACAGATCTATGATAGATTCGGTCAAAAAATCCAGATCTACGACACACACACATATATGCGTCCATTATATTCCATATATATTACTACGTATTTCTTAACACTTCCTTTTATCTTCTAATTTCTAAAGAGTAGATGTCACTGGATGATGATGTACGTAGTATTGTTTATTGATGTGGGTGTAAGTATTTGTTGATGTAAAATGGTTTATTTGTTGTGAAGTTTATTGTGATAAACTGATAATGAAGTATAGTTGAACAAAAGTGACTTTGTATTACTTTTGTGGATTCAAGCTTAAATTTTTGCATTTTGTGATGCGTATGCATTTAAATTTGTATTAATCAAGGATATTAAATAAATAAAAAACATTTTCAAAATTTTTGAACGTATACTGCGGTTCTGATGCTAAAAACCGCCACCTTTTAGAATTAAATTATTAATTTCGTGTATTAACGGCGTTTCTCTTACTAATAACTGCCGCATATATAGTATCTATCTCAAGAAATAGGCGGCGGTTCTTACCTTAATAACCGCCGCAAATTATTATTTTTTATATTTATTTTAATGATTTATATTTGCGGCGGTTTTTATCTCTAAAAACCGCCGCGCGTTTAATTTTTGCGACGCAACCATTTGTGGCGGTTGAAACCGCCGCACATGCCTCTTTAAAACCGCCGCAAAAGCCAATTTTTCCACTAGTGAATAGTCATAACACGCACACAACCATGAGGAACCGGGCGAACTATCTTCTAATTTAATAAGTAGTAACGTTTAATGTAAGGTAGACACTAATAATTAGATAAACTCACAGTAATTAAATCAATGAATAATTGTCTCCTTGATCGAAACCCCGCAAAATTAGTTACTCAATGATTTGGTGGCCATCATATACTTTTGGAAAAAAATCTCTAAATAGGAATAAAAAGGTTTTGAAATTACAAAATAGGATTATCATGTTTTTATTCTCCAAATATGAGTAATTTTTTGCCAAATTTGTCATTATCAGATTTTAAACATGAAAGTTTCTATCAAGTTTTTTTCAAACTTGACAAAACTTAGTACTCCTATTTAGGGAACAATACATGAAAATCCTATTTTATTAGAATTTAAAAACGTTTTTAATACTTTCTAACACTTTTGTTGGGACTGTTTGACCAAATGTAGTCCCTTTTTAAAGTAAACCACCCACTATCATTTCAGTAAAATGTGTGTTAGTCATTCAAGAATGAAACTACAATATAAAAATAATCATGCAAGAAGAATGTGTTCACATAGAAAGGGATTTTCTACCAACGTACAATAAAATATTTATATAACAAGTTTGAGTGTTAACTTTTGTAATGAACAACAATGATATACTTGCATGTTCGTAATGGTTAGAAATAATTAATATCACAGCAGCTGCGGGTATGTAATTTATATTTACGTATAAATTTTCATTAATATTATTTTAAAGTATTTATTTTTATAATTTCATATTTGTTGTGAAGTAAATATAATGCATAAGTTTACTTTTAATTTTGCATCATATCACCGAGTATTTCGATCGAAACGATTTTTAAATGCTTTCATTCAGATTAAATCAAAATAATAATCAATTATCGTCGTCTATAAACACAACATTCATATTGTGTGATTTGTATTGCCTGCACATCAGCACATGTTTTAATTTCTTCTACTATATTTGTATGACACAATATAATTTAGTACATAGTTTTATAATTTTTGTATTATTTTAGTGCTTGATTAAACATACATTGATGGCGTTTATTACATTAATTATGTGTTACATAAACTTTATTTACAATTGAAGTTTAGTATATAGAGGGTATAACAAACCTTCAAACTTTGGTCGTGTTTATCGATTGCATAATATTTTAACAAAATGTGCATATGATTTTTCCATAACCTATTAAAGTTCAAATTTAGTGCACTATCAACACAAAATTATTGCTCACTTGTAATTTGTATTAAATAAATCTAGAATGAAAGTGGATGATAAAGTTTTCTATTAGACAAATTGCATGCAGATAATCTAGCTAGATAACTTCCAATAAGGACTGCACGTGAATAAAAGTATGAATAGCAATGCACGTATTTTTACTCTAACACACCTGTACGACTTGAGGTTTTAAATTTCATTTAATATCATTTATCACTTTTCTTTAAAATAGCATCATGCTAATCATATGAAAAAATTATTGACCATTAGATTACCAATCGCGAGAGAAGAATTTTATTCTCATTTCTCTCATGAGAGTACTCCATTCTCACCGAGTCATCGGAACTGTCCCTCCACACACAGTATATAAGTAATAATTAAATTGAAGAGAGGAAAAATAACATCAAAACACTTACCATAAATGCAATATTTCATTACTTTAGGAATAATAAGAAAACTATTAAATTCTATTTTAGGAATTACCACTTCTTTTAGTTATACTCCTAATAATTTTGTCTTTTTAAAAGTCCAGCTTAATCCCGGCCACATGAATGTTTTTGGATTAGTTAGGTTCCAAAACAAAATGCATGAGATCGATGTTTAATTTGGAAGAAGTGCTGGTACTAGCCTACTACTACTCTATAGTCTATAGTAATGGATTGAATTAATTTATGGCTCTTTCTTTTTGCAAAATGAAATTCTCGGGGAAATACTTAATTATGATAATATAAATCTTTTGAATAATATTTCAATTAGTATTAAAAATAAATTAAAAGTAAATATTTAGAAACTCACTAAGTAAAGTAGTACTCCTTATTAAAATAATATACGTAGTATATAAAAGTGATATTCAAATATATACCCGGAGTATGAAATTTTTTTGTATATAAAATTAAATATTAATTAAAATAGAGTTCCAAAATAAGTTGGAGGAATAATGAATGAAAAAATCATTTTGGGATAGATATAGGCTCTGTTTGCAAGTGATTGTGCTTAAATAAAAGCACTTTTTGGGAAAAAGTGATTAGTAGTAAAAGTTGGTAGTGTTTGGTAAAATAAGTGATTTATGTGCAATAAAAAAAGAAAAAAGTAGATTCTACACGAAAGCCGGGAAAAGTAAAAGTTAGTAGTGTTTGGCCGGTAAAATAAGTGATTTTTTCTTAAAAAAAAGCCACAATCACTTAAATTAAGTGATTGCAAACAAGCCCATATAGTAGTAGTATTACATTTCAAGCTAGCACATTGCGTATAACGTAGAACACAAAGATATATATATCAGAGTATAATTACAAATTAGAATATATATGATTATTCTATTAAGTTATGATAAAGGTAGAACACGAAGATAGAGTATACTTTAGTCTTATTTTGAGATAAATAACATAGTCATATTTTTGTATTTAGGAATTAGTTTATTCTTACGATTACTATTATTATTATCCCTTTTAACTAATACCGAATATAATTCTAGTAATGTGCACCTGAACCAAAACCATACAATTAATCCGGTTTCGTAGATAAAAAAACTCGTACTAATTAATTAATCGGGTTATTATTATTATGATTTTTATAATAATAATAATAATAATTATTACTCCGTATTATTATAGTTAGTTCGTTAGTACGTAGCAGTATATATACCATTAATTAATTACTGTCCTAATCAGATCAGACTCGTACTACGGGTTATGTCCCAGAAGGATTAGTACGGACCAAGGCAATGACGTATTTCAGTGAAGTTAATTAGGATTAGGACTAGCCAGTGTTTCCTTTTCTCCCCTATAAATACACGCTCGGAGAATCCATCCGCTCCAATAATCTTATTAATTACTTGCCTCTCGTTAATTAATCATTGGTTTCTAATTGTGATCAACAAGCAACGGAACCATGGCCGGTGGAGTAATGATTCACCGTCCTGGTAACGGCGGTGGCGGCGTGGAGTATCCCGGAAAGCTCACCCTCTACGTTCTTGTCACTTGCATTGTCGCTGCCATGGGAGGCCTTATTTTCGGTTACGATATCGGGATTTCAGGTATATAATACCGGAGTATTATTAGTATTATTATGCCCTTCCCTCTTATTTGATTTTCTTTTTTATAGTTAAAGTTTTTTAGTTTATAATAAATAAATTGTTCATAAATTAAAGTTGAGCCGGCCTAAACCACATTAACAAAATTAATTAATTACGTAGTACTACGTATGTAATAGATATTAGGCAGATTCCTAAATATATTAGTCTATTAGTATGTTTTAGTTCATTTAAAGAGTTTCCCTAATTTAACGCAACTCAATCTTGATTATGTTTGAACAATAAAAAAATTATAATAAAGATACACATCTGAATAAATACTACTACCATACGTGCTTTAAATACAGTAACTTTAAATCGTATTGTAGATAAAGTCTTCAAATATGATAGAATACGAGTTTTGCATTAGTATATCTCATTTTTTTGAATAAAACACATTTAGTTTTGTTTTTGGATTTTATATACATCGTAGTCTCATGATCTCATGAAATTTGTTAAAAATACTTTCATAAAAGTATAAAATTATAAGTCTCATTATCCGACTACTTTTTACGTAGTATCATTGACCAAAAAAAGTAAAATTGACAAGTTTTATGAGGGAGGGGGGAGGGAGTAGTATACTTCATTCCTATTTGGAGCAATTTTTTGAGAAAAAATATTTTTGATTTTTACACATTTTGTCAATTTATTTATTTTGTTCTAATGCATATATGGATCTTTAATTTTCTTGTATGATAGGGGGTGTGACATCTATGGACAGTTTCTTGGGGAGATTCTTCCCAAAAGTGTACAGGCAGGAGAAGGCAGATTCTTCTTCCAACCAATACTGCAAGTTTGACAGTCAAACTTTGACCTGGTTCACTTCCTCCCTCTACTTGGCTGCTCTGGTCTCCTCCATTTTTGCCTCATTTGTCACCAGAAAGCTGGGCAGGAAGGCGTCCATGATGATCGGAGGTTTCGTCTTTCTCGCCGGTGCTCTCATCAATGGCCTCTCCCAGGCTCTCTGGATGCTCATCGTCGGCCGCATTTTGCTTGGAATTGGAATTGGCTTCGCCAATCAGGTATAGCAAATGGTTCATATTTCATTCATATTTTGACAATCTAAAATCGATCAATCATATAAGCTCACTTTTTATGGATGTAATTTGGTTTGAATGCGCAGTCTATTCCACTCTACTTGTCGGAGATGGCGCCTTTTAAGTACAGAGGGGCCCTAAACATCGGCTTCCAGCTATCCATCACTCTGGGCATCTTGATCGCCAATGTGGCTAACTATTACTTCGCTAAGATCTCATGGGGATGGCGTTTGAGTTTGGGTGGCGCCATGGTTCCCGCCCTCATCATCACCGTCGGCGCCTTCTTCCTTCCCGACACTCCCAACTCAATGCTGGCTCGAGGAAAGAACGAAGAAGCCAAAGCTAGGCTCCAGAGGATTAGGGGAGTCGACGACGTCGACCAGGAGTTCAACGACCTGGTCGCCGCCGGCGAGGCTTCCAAGAGAGTGCAGAACTCCGGGAGGAAGCTGCTGCAGAGGAAGTACAGGCCTCAGCTTGTGATGGCGATCTTGATTCCCTTCTTCCAGCAGCTCACCGGGATCAATGTCATCATGTTCTACGCGCCCGTCCTCTTCAAGACGATCGGGTTCGGGAGCAATGCTTCCCTTTTCTCGGCGGTGATTACCGGCGGGGTTAACGTTTTGGCCACTCTGTTTTCCATTTGGAAAGTTGATAAGCTGGGGAGAAGGTGGCTGTTTCTTGAGGGTGGTATTCAGATGCTTATTTGCCAGGCTGCAGTCACACTCTGCATTGGGCTGAAATTTGGAAGCAGCGGACACCCGGGAGATTTGCCCAAGTGGTTTGCCATACTGGTGGTGGCCTTCATCTGCGTTTACGTCGCCGGATTCGCTTGGTCGTGGGGCCCGCTGGGGTGGCTGGTGCCGAGCGAGATCTTCCCTCTGGAAATCCGATCGGCTGCCCAGAGCGTCAATGTCGCAGTCAACATGATCTTCACCTTCATCGTTGCCCAAGTGTTCCTGAAGATGCTGTGCAAGTTGAAGTTCGGGCTGTTCATTGTTTTTGCGGCTTTCGTGGTCATCATGTCTCTCTTCGTTTACTTCTTCTTGCCGGAGACGAAGAACATCCCCATTGAAGAGATGAGTATGGTCTGGAAACAGCATTGGTACTGGAAAAGGTTTGTTACAGACGATGAAGATGAAGATCAGGTCTCAACTAATAAGCCCAAACCCCGGGCAGTGATTGACACAGTTTAGCCAGCAAATTGGGAATTAGTAGTTTTTTTATTTGTGTTTTATGATTTTTCTTTACCCGAACGATTTTAGTTTTCCTAGTTGACAGGATAGATGCTCAAAAGTAAACATATTTTTCCTATCCTTTTCAATTCACTGAATACTTGGTATAATTGTTTATATCAAATCTTCCCAACCATGGTGTTTCCATCACTAGCAAATAGGCCATATATATTAGCATAGCAATGTAACTTTTAAACTAAAAATAAGTCATCATAGACATCCATAACAAAGTACAAAAAACTTATGTACACACACATCTACCATCATTATAAGAACTGCTTTAAACCAGGACTTGATAATATTACCATGTTTATTAATTGCATTGCAGTTGAAAGAGATTCACAGAAAGCTAATTACATTCAAAGGATTAAAAAAGAAACATGTTCGTTAAAACTTAAAACAAGAACTCTTATATACAACAACCATCAGGGAAACAAGAAAGGGACTAGACAAAAATCAACATCATTATTTAAAAGAAAAAACAAATACAGATATAAAGTTTGGATGTGATTTATATGGTCCAGTTAGCTTCACTTCCAACCCTAGGCATGGTGTTGTTAGGCTTGGAGAAAGGATCAACCTTGAAGAAAGCTCCACACATTGCACCTTCACTGTCAACTCTTGGCATTGCCTTCATCTCCTTCATTGGATGCTCAAAGCTCATCAGCCCTCTTCCACTGTGATACATACACCCTGCAATTTCCAACCTCTCCACCATTTCAATCACTGATAATATAACTGATGATATCTTTCACTAAAAGTATTACATAAACTATTATAATTATTGTTATGCATTTTTTATGTACCATTAGGAAATGGTGCAAAGGATTTGCCACAGCTTTGTTTGATAACATCCACATTGTCTGACATCATAATGGAGCCATCCTCTCCAATTCCCCAATAGAGCTTCACACTTTCGCTTTCGCCCTGTTCAACCCCCAAAAATCAGTGAGTTCTTGAAAGAATGGAACATTTGTTTCGAATTCAATGTTAAGTTGGTTTAACTGTTCGTTCGGATTGATTCGAGCTTCAGAATAGAATTACTGGGAATATGCTATTTGATCACTTTGGTTTAGATAAAGTGGCCATTAGAAATTTAGAATGACTAGGACAATTAGCTGAGTAAGTACTGTTGACTTGTTTGGTTCAAATAGATTTTAAGCCAGACTTCTTATTACAAGAATTTCAGCAGATTAAGTCATTTAGGACATAAACTTTACCAAACAGGCTCTAACAACAAGTACCATCCAAGGTTAATTGCAGGCAGCACATGCTTCCAGTTTCATAAATTCAGTAAATTTGGGATCTTCCATGTTTGTTTGAATCCAAACGAAGCCTAAGAGTAATTATCACCAAAGATTTGAATGGGGGCAGGAATTAGCAACTTACAAGAGCAGCAAAAACAGTTCCAGCTTTGTGATCATAGACGACAAACCCGAAGCTGCCCTCCAGATCCTTGAGGACTTGATGGGCCGGGTACGGGCCTCTGTCTCGGAGGGTCCGATAAGCTTCGATCACAAGCATGGCCTCATTCCCACCTTTTGATAATCCATATTGTCTGTTGAGAGAGCACAGATTGTTGAGGCTCCCCAGGAAGATGCAGTACATCTCATTCAACCCACAGAACAGCCTGCAATAGCATCCCCACTTTTCAAAATGACTAAGAGCTAATCTTACAATAAAAAATTTAAAGCCCTGGCTTCCATGATTCCATGAAATTGAATAAAATTGAACGAAAATACCTCTGGTGAGACAAAAGGGAAGAAGGTTTAGCAGAGGAAAAGGCCAGTAATGCCTGATCACCGAACCCTAGAGAGAAACCATTGTTGTGATTTGAAGACAGGAAATTGTTGATGGCCATTTGAGGTGGAACGAGGTTGCCGGACGATGCGACTGAGCTTTTCAGCTCCTTTGGTGGATCCATCAGTCCTCTCTTGAAAATTGCCAACATTTTCGTCTTCTTCTTCTGATCAAAATATCTGAAAGCTTTAGAAATGATTGAATGGAAAATGCGAGTATGGAGTTTTGGTCTGTAATAACACCATTTATATAGAGAAGGAAGAGTGACAATCATATTGTCCCACGTGTCGGCGTTATCCAAATGGATAAGGAGGACACTTTTTACTCCGTATTCAGTCCTTTGACCCTATCTACTCTTTTTTACCGCAGACGTCATTTACACGTAGATTTTGGGTGTTTGGTTACTGGCCTATCATTCAATTTTTAACGGTTTGGACCATTAATTGGTCTTTTGATCATTAACTGGTTAATAAGTTTTTTCTATTGGCTTTTTAGGCCAACCAGCCAAAAATCAAAATGCCACTAAACTTAACATTTTGCATTGGGTTGTTTCACTTGGTCCTCTAAAAATAGGGATTTAACCTTAAATCATACTCCATCCGTCCTTCTAATCTTGTCCCGTTTTACCTTTTCGTCCGTCCCATTAAGTTTGTCTCATACCATATTTGATAATGTTTGAATGGTTAGAATTCATTTTTACTTTATTCACACTTTATCAATTCAATACCAACTACATAATTCTTCTTTTTCTTAAAAACCACACAACCCTCCTTTGTCCCAAATTTAGGGGGACGAAGGTAGTACTCGGTAACTCCCATCTTCAATTGCCATGCAACGCAACTTCAAAATTCTAATGAAAGGACAAATATACTTCCATCTCTAAAAGCATAAAGACCCACTTTTGTTAGATAATCTTTTAATGTATAATACAAATGTACAAGCAACGACATTAACAAAATTTAGCAATATATGAATAATATACATTGCAATCAATATATTCGTTTTTATTGTTACTTTTTGTTTAATGAATAAAAATAATTTAGGATAATATATTAAAATTATATCCAAAACCAATAGAAAACTAGAATAGTTAAATAAATTGAAAACATTTTATCTCCTTGTAATTTGTGGTGACATAAATATTTAAATATATTTTTCATTTTTGTTACATGACTTTTCTTGGTATATTTTTACTTATAACTTCATTTATTAATCAATGTATCGTCATACTAATAAAATTTATTAAATCATGAAAAAATAATTTCTAAAAAAATATTACTTGTGTTAATACATTTTTATTTTATTTAGATAAGGGAAAAATAATTAAAATACCCCAAACTTTGAAGTGATGTGAGCTAATTAAACCAGCCAACAGAATCTGCTATTATCAATCAACTAACACAACCAACCAACAACCAATAACCAATTGCCAAACACCCCCTTTAATTATTTTAGAAATTGCCCTTCCATCCCTTTTGATTATGTTTTGGAGAAGTTCAATCATACTCCCTCCGTCCTAGAAACAACTTCTGAGTTGGATTTCACACATATTAAGGAAATAAATTTATTAGAAGATAAATTTTACTGTTTTGACATTGTTTGGACTCTATTTGGCATTGTTTTGCATTGTTTTGATGTAGATAATTTGCCAAATAAGGAAATGAGAATTTAATTTTGGGACTGCCCAAAAAAAGAAAGGTGTAAGTTGTTTCTGGGACGGAGGAAGTATTAAATAATACTCTCTTTGTTCTTTATTAACTATCTCTTTAGGCTTGGGCACGGGTTTTAAGAGAAAAATAGTTGGAGTAATATAGAGTGTGTAGGATAAATGATAAAATAGGAAAGAGAGTATATTAAGAAGAGTAAAGTGATAATAAAGTAGGAAAAAGAGTGTATTAAGAAGAGTAAAAGGATGATGGAGTAGGAAAGATAAAGTACTACCTAGTATGTAAAAGGGTCAAAAGTAATAAAAGTGAGATACTTATCTCAAAAACTTTTCTAAAATGAAAAGAAGGACAATGAATAAAAAACAGATCAAAATGGAATAAGAGACAATTATTAAAGAACGGAAGAAGTATTGTATATTACTTTCTCGGTTTCTCCATCTCAATAACAATGAGACAAGAATGAGTGTCACGCAAATCAGTAAAAATGTGTTGGTTTTACCATCAGTATGCCCTTCTATTTGCATAATTCTTGAAAAGAGTATTAAGCATACAATATACCTCTTCATCATGGAAAAAAACTTGAAGTGTCTTCCCTCTCATGAAATGCCTTCAAACTTTTAAGGCCTACTCAATTCTAACTTTCCATGATACTTGTTAACATCTGTTATGTGTTTGCTTTGGAGTGAGATACATTTTAACATGCTATTATCTTCTATATTGCAGGTCCAAGCAAAAAAAAGATGATTATATTTTTTAGTAATAACATGATGCTTTATAACATGTAAATATGTAGGATCTTGGACCTGAATAAGGTGCCCAAATATGTATTATTCATAAACAAAATGTATTTATTAAATAGTTAAGATTAGGAATTACAGGGTTTTATTATTGCATAGTCAAGTTCTCAGGTATGATCTTCATTCCCTAAAATTTTAATTATTTCTTTTTTTTTTTTTTGCATTTAAATTTCATAATCTTCAAATGCAGGTTGGTTCAAAGAATGGGGGATAGGTTAACTGGACATAAACCTGTTTTTCAAAACATGTCATTCTGCCTCGATTTGTTTATTTTTAGTGTTTGGACCTTCCAGTATGGTTTTGTTCTGTTACACTCAAAAATATTAGTTACAAACCCTAGGGTATATAAAACTAATAACTAAAACAATCTAAGTTTTACATGTGAGATTTACCTTTTGTTGGTACCATTGATTTTATGTGTTTGATTCATTCCCACAATCCTGAAAATAAAATCTGTGTTTCTATACATGTTAGAAAGCATGCAAAAATATGTGAATGTTAAGCAGTAATTATAGATATAGATTCTTACCAATGTGGCTTTTGCAAGTCATTACTCTTAAAATGAATATTCTTTGGTTGACAACTTCTAATCTCTCATACTGTAAAACAACTTCTTGTGTCTCATCTCTTAAACTGCAGTCCCATAGAAGTCCCACTTTCAAGGCCATTGCTGTGAATTGTTGCTCTGAGTTCCGTAACTAATGCAGTTGGATGTATTTATACTACAATTTGGAGCTACTTAGAATAGATGTGCGAATTATCCAATGGTCAATAACCTGCAATATCTTTACTTTACCTGGATATATGCACACCTTTTTAGAAGGACAGCTAATCCGCAGCAAAATAAAAAGTGCTTTCGGCCAACATCAAATCAAAAGTACAATACGTAGTACAATGCATTAAATTTTTTGGGGCTCAAAGATTACATACGATTTTATTTGTTGTCTCCAAGATTCGAAGTACAATGCATATACTTTTTTATTGATAATAATGGCTCTACTTTCGAAATTGAGGAGGGAGAATTAAAGAGTAAACATATTTTTATTGAGCCACACAAACTGAAGCATTGGACATCGTGCCACCATTAAATCAATGTTGCAAATCTCGGAATCTGTTAGATGACCCATTACTGTACCCATATTCATTAACCCAACCCGACCCGTTACTGTACACTCTTTGGACGGGAACACTGTTCATTTTTCCACTTGCTTTTGTATAATAGAAGATTTCTGTTTTACATCTTTTGGAAACATCTTTGGTCAAAAAATTTACCTACTTCTACTTCGTATAATTAATTCTTTATTTTATTAATAAAATATATTTTAATTTTTTTTCTTAATGAGATAAGATAAACGACATAAAACCTGTGACCCGTGAAATTCAAACTTGAGCCTCAATGCTTCAATGAAACTCCGGTGCGGCCTCACGGCCTTCTATGATACTCCAACTCGCCGGCCGCTTCTCTCCCTCCGTCCGCCGAAGTGCTCTGTCTCATTTTCTATCGATTCATCTCATTCTCACGGCGTCTCACTCGCAGAGTTGCTCCAGCACGAAACGCTCCGGATCCTAGAATGGCCCGCTGTCTGCTCCCAGCTCGCAGCCTTCACTTCCACACCCATGGGACTTTCCGCGGCCCGTTCCTCGAGGATTCCGTTGGGACGCTCTCCGGAGGAGAGCCTGAGGCTCCTGGCGCAGACCTCTGCTGCCTTCGCTCTTCCTCAGCGGCTGGATTTTTCCGGAATCCATGACGTCACGGACATCGTCGATACCGCCGTCTCCGGTCAAGTACTCTCCATTCATGAGATTTGTTCCGTGAAACGAACTCTTATAGCAGCCCGATCATTGCTTAAACAACTGGAGGAGATGTCTTCACAAAATGAATTTCGTGACAGGTACAAGACGGCGAATAGGAATGTGTTTGCTAGTAGATACAGATATAATTTCGCATGTTTCCATCTAGCAGTTCACAATAGTTTTTTGAAGTATGCTCTCTGGCGAATGCATGGCCTGTCACTCAATACTCCTGGAAGTTCTTTTGGATGCGCGTGTAAATGACAAATTATGTTCTAGTAAATGCATCATGTAAATGAAGATTTGTCTCTCCTTTATATGAATTCTTAAATATTCACACTATCCAGAAACGGATAGATAAGAAATAGTAGAATCATTACTACTGTTCTACACTTCTACATGGAGGTCATAACTCATAAAAATCAAACGCTTGGCCATGCTCTCTTTCATTGTGAAATGTTCTTCTTTTAATTTTGGCAATTGAAAATCACAGCCCTCAGTTCTATGATTAATCGCTTAAGGACACATAATCTACAGACTGTAATTTCCAAGAAACTATCAATATTTAATAATTGAGATCAATCTGATGCCTTATTTGTTGCTGATATTACTAATATCCAACAGCTTAAAGTTTATGATTTGAGAATAATTAACTTGAAAATAATCAGGAATATTCTTTTCTTTTTAATACTTTGCATACAGCTTTAGGGCTGTGTTTAACATGACTTCTTTTATTTGCTCTAAGAGTAATATATATATATAACGGATTAATGGTTACCTAAAAACACTGAGGTATATGGAATGGAAAGCCATCTCAGTAAAGACGAGCTAAACTGAGCAACAAGTTCTTTACATGCAGTTAATTGAACTTAGGGAACACCACCAGACATTGATGGGTCTCTGTATGGTTTCTGAAGATTTTGGTTCTGGATGAATTATTTGATATCAAGTTGAACTTGTAGACTTTCTATATACTGTATTTTCATTAGGGCTTTTAGGCAGTTGCAAGAAGTCATTTGAATGGGGACTTGATCAGCTGTTTCAATGT